GTCTTCGCCTCACGGCAACTTCGGTCGCAGGATGCAGCAGTGTAGGGTTTAGAGCTTGAAGTCCTAAACCGAAAGCCGCAGGGCTGACGGACACAAAAAGAGTGCACGCAGCAAAGGTGTTTTCCATGTTGCTGGCAGCACCAAGGCATGTGCTTGGCGATTTGATCTATGCGGAAATGGCAGGCCCGGCGCACAGCTGTATGCCAAGCGGCGGGACTGTCTAAACTCGCCGGTGCATTGCACTCCATGCTAAGACACCGACCGGTCACCCAAAACTGGCTCGAGCAATCGAATTAGCATGAGGCTGTCTGTTCAGCCTTGAGCGTTAGACTGCCTCCGTTTTGAACAAGGCTAGGACTTCACATGCAGTTCTCGCTGGTGGCCTCGGACTCCGTGTAAGACTCGGACTCGCTGCTTTGGGTCTTGCCCTTCTCGAAGCTCTGTGCCGGACCATGGAACATTCCACCCATCTCGGACCAGTAGTAGCAGGGGCTCAGCAGCGCCCAAAACATTACATAGCCCGCATGGACCTGGAAAGGCAGCAGGGCATCCTGGATCGGCTTGTAAAAGCAGAAGCCTGCAATCACTGCCCCGAGATTTCCACCGGCACCCACAAGCGCGGACACAACAGCAAGCTGCTTCCTGTTCATAAAAGGCACGATGCCGTAGGAGGTGCCCTCCGCCATCTGCACAAAGAGCGAGAAGCAAACCAAGACTGCCAAGGCCACATACCAAGGTTGGGAATTGTCCACTTTGCCGAAGCTGAAAAGGAAGATAGCTTCGAAGAAGAGTGCCAGGAACTGCGCCCAAATGCGGCCGCGGAAGCCGAAGTACTTGTAGCAAATGTCGCTGCTGATGCCTCCCAGAGATCTTGCGAAAAGATTCATCAGGCCGAAAGCACCCGCCAGGGCGCTGGCATCACCTGCATCCATCTGGAAGTATGTCCGAAAATGTGTGGCCAACTGGTTGTTCATTGCGAGCTCTGTGCCGAAGCATGCGGAATATTGGAAGATCATGACTACGACACGAACGTCGCGCAGCACCTCGACATAGTCCCACATCGAAGGCTTTTGTGTCTTGCCGGTCACTTTCGGATCGAAGTTGCGTGCCGTAGGCATATCCCAGCACATGAGCTTCATGCAGATGGCACAAACCACGAACATGACCGCTGGCACCACCATGGAGACACGCCAAGCGACATTCGGCTCCATTCCGGAGGCCACCATAGGATTGAAAAGTACTGACATCATAAAAATCTGGGTCACGCCACCTCCCAGGTTGCCCCAACCGGCCGCGGTGGCGTTGGCCGTGCCGACAACGTTGGGCGCAAACATCAGCGAGCACCAGAACTGATTTGTCACGAATGTGGCGCCAGCGCAACCAATGAAAAAGCGAATAAGCGTGTAGTTCCATGGAGCCGTAATCGCGGCTGCCATGGCCACCCAGAAGGCCCCGAAGGACATTAAGCCGCACTGAACGTTCACTGGGCCAAAGCGCTCGAGGAGCGTCCCCAAGGCTATCCTTACGAAGATGGTCGAGGCAACCGAGGCAACGCCTGCATTCGCGATCACTGATTTGCATTCCGTGCCTGGGGTGCACACGCACTT